ACTTATTGAGTGTATTGATGATCTAGGTGGTTTCTGTGATAACACCTGTTGCAGACAGATTTACTTATTGAGGGTATTGATGAGCTAGTTGGTTTCTGTGATTATTGAGTGTATTGATGAGCTAGGGGGTTTCTGTGATGACACCTGTTGCAGACAGATTTACTTATTGAGTGTATTGATGAGCTAGTTGGTTTCTGTGATTATTGAGTGTATTGATGAGCTAGGTGGTTTCTGGAAATTGAAGCATCATGCAATATGAAGTCATTGAAACCTTCTGCAAGAGAATTAGAACAAGAGGCCAAGAGGGCCTGTATCGCTCACCTGAAAATATATGTTTAAAATAATTGGTATGTAGTAAAGATATAGTACTCCATGGTAGGTGCTGTATGTACATATGAAATTTCAGAAAGATCGATCAAGTACTTGAGATATAGCAAGAACAAACTTCAAACAGAGCCCCACCCCTATGCCCTAAGGGGGTCATACCCACCAATTATACAAAATTGAGTCCCCTTGACCCAAGGATGCTCCAGACTAAATTAGGATACAATCCCTTAATCCCTATGGTAGAAGAAAGATTTTTAAAGTTTTACCTCTATTTCCCCTATTGGTGGACTTCACCCAAGGGTGCTTCATACCAAATTTTGACAAAATCCTGCCATTGAAGAATTGAATTTAAACAAAATTGGTTCCCCTTTACCCAAGGATGCTCCACACCAAATATGGACCAAATCCTTTCATTCCTATAGAAGAAGAAGGATTTTGAAGAAAATTTGCTATGTTTACCCTATTGGGCCCTGCCCTTCAGGCCCCTTGGGGGCCAGACCCACGGTTTATACAAAATTGGTTCCCCTTCACCCAAGGATGCTTCAGACCAAATAAGGAACAAATCCTTTCATTCCTATAGAAGAAGAATTTTAAAGAATTTGCTATATTTCCCCTATTGGGCCCCACCCCTCAGCCCCTTGGGGACCACACCCACTGTTTTTACAAAATTGGTTCCCCTTTACCCAAGGATGCTCCATACCAAATCCTTTCATTCCTACAGAAGTAGAAGGATTTTGAAGAATAATTTGCTATGTTTCCCCTATTGGGCCCCTCCCGTCAGGCCCCTGGGTGGCTGACCAACGGTTTATACAAAATTGGTTCCCCTTCACCCAAGGATGCTTCTTACCAAATCCTTTCATTCCTACAGAAGAAGAAGGATTTTAAAGAATTTGCTATATTACCCCTATTGGGCCCCGCCCCTCAGCCCCTAGGGGGGGG